GTTAGGGGAAGAAAAACACTCAGTGACACAGTCTCCGTTAACCTTTCTTAATTAAAGAACCTTTTCATTTTTCAATACAATACTCATCTTTTAGGGCCTTTTCCAGAATAACACCATCAGTATATTGGCTACTAGCTTTCAGTTGTTCTAAGCATAAATAAGGTGACGCTTCAGGAGGTAAAGTACATATTTACTTGAGTGACGAGACCTCCGACTTTTATGAATGTGTTTTTCCGCGTGGTCCAGGCCCCTTCTCCGTGTAAGCAATGCTAACGTGTGTCTTGCAGACATGAGTCACCTCCAAGGGGAGTACCGCGGCGGCAGCGGGCCGCATCCCGGCGACGACGCATCCGTCAGCTCCGTTGCCTTGGTGACGATCCCCATCATGATCGCGCTCTTACTCATCATAGTCCTCCTGCTCGTCAACCAGAAGAAGCAGTGGATTCCCGTGTCCTGCTACAAAGCCCCAACGAAGGTGCCGTCTTGATGTCTAATCCTAGGTTGTCACTTCTCCAGGAAAACAAGATTAACTACAGTAGTGTGGAGGGTGCATCTGAATTCACAGCACAGGAACACTCTTAAATCGTTTTCTCCCTATGTCTTAACTCATTTTACATCCATCAGATTGTTCCTATTTATTTATTCTCCTAAATCATTTTTTGTTGCCAAAAGAAAATCGGTAATTCCCTATTCTAATCACTATATAGAAATTAAACTCAAAAAAAAAAAAAAACACCTCCCTAAAACCAAGCCCTCCCCTGTAACTGCAGTTATGTAGTTAGGCAATAGCTTTCATGTTTGGCAAATGCTATATGGTCTCTCCTCAAAGTCATCCGACTTGACAGATGTTTATGTGCTCTGCCACTGTGTGCTATATGTTGCATCTTAAATAGCTCCATCTAATCTAAGATTTTGTGTTTAGTCTATGGGAAAATTGCACACAAGATGACAAAATACCCCTCTGACACTGAGAAATACAATATATGCTACATTTCTCCTATTTGCTTAGCTTCTTGTCATTTTGCATCATACACAGCAGGTATGTTGCAGTGGATTTGCCAGGAAAAAAAAAGGTACCTGCTCCACTGTTGTGCAGCTTTAGTACATATTATATAACAGTATAAAAAGCTAGCACTACTGATGTATTTTTTACTTACTCTTTAAAAACAGACAGGGATTAGAAAATAAAAATTGCCATCAACTCAGTACTGAAAGTCTATAGAAAAGATATTTGAAATGACAGTTGGCTGTTAATGGCTGGCCCTGATTCCACATAGTTAGCAAGCTCTTTGCATTTCCTACTTTCTCTGCCAACTCCCATTAACCTCCATGAGCCTCAGGAGTTCTGTGTAAATCCAGTTCCCAAACTCTCTGAAGAACATAGTGTAAACTGGGAAGAATTTTAAAAAATATAATATACATATAAACCATTTTATTTTAAATTTGGAGAAAAAAAAATCTTGGAGGATTACTGAATATGTGGTGCTCGGTTAATAGAGTGCTACTTAACCATTCCTTCTGGCCTGATTTCCTCAGAGGAAGAAAATGAGGTGCCAGAAGAGGGGTCTGGTCTGGTTTTGTGCCTGGTGTAGCCTTCACCAAGCTTAGTAAAAGTCCAGACTGCTTTTTCACCGATTGTTTCCTTTGTGTATGTGAACTTGTACCACAAACATGTTTTAATTACGGTTGTAATACAAAAAATCTTCAAACTGCTTTAACGTTCCCTTTCTTTTCTAACAGCCTTCTTGCCTGAACAATCAGCTGGTATATGTGGACTGCAAGAAAGGCACCATGGTCCAGGTGGACAGTTCACAGAGGATGCTAAGAATCGCAGACCCAGACTCAAGATACAGTGGATTTTACAGCATGCAGAAACAGAACAACCTACAGGCAGATAATTTCTATCAAACAGTTTGAAGAATTGCACCCTTCTCACGGATTTAAGAAAGAGCGAGAGAAAGAGAGAGACTAAGTCTGCTATTAAAATAAAACTAGAATTGTGCACTTGCTTAGTGGATTGTATTGGATTTGTGACTACATGTACAGCTCTAAGACCTTACTGGGATGAGCTCTGACTCCTGCAATGTGCCAGAAAAAGCATTCCTACTTTTCCTTGAGATAACTGACCAAGTGTTTTCTTAGAACCAAAGTTTTAAAACTTATTGAGATGTATTTGCTTGTAACATATAGCTATAGAGGTTTTTGGGGAGGGGGAATTGGAAGCTGGGGGTAGGCAATGAGATAAAAGGCAGCTTCAGAGCAGACAGGCTGCTCATGCCTGGCTGCAGAAGAAAATGAGTAAAGAGTATTACTGAGCAGCAGGATGGTGGCTTTTCTTGCTGCTCTGAAACTGCATCTGTTGAAGCAAAGTCTAACCCCAGATGAAAAAAAAAATGAAAAGGTCTGTTGGGTTTTTTTGATGTTGTTTTGGTTTTTCTTTTGTGTTTTTTTTTTTTGTCATTTTTTCCAGCTGTTGCTACAATAATATACTCCTAGAACAGAACTTGTCACATCACAGGTGTGGTGTAGCTGCAAATATTTTTCTATATGATGAGAAGCTGCAGTAGTTAATGAAATAGCAAGGAAAAGGTTATAGCAGAAAATAAAGGGTGGGTTTATTAAGGATGTATAAAATTATACCTTGTGCTGCTTTTTGTTTTTATTTTTGTTTTCTTCAAAGCTGATTGGCTAGATTAGCCTGACTTTGGCAGAGTTAGCAAATGACTGAGGCCTAAGTAATTCCTGATATGAGCACTGGATCTTTTTGACAGCAGTATTGAAGGAAGGAAGGAAAAGTCAAGAACACCATGCAGTTCCAGGGGCTTTTGTTTGTTTGTGTTGTCTGTTGTGGTTTTGTTTTGTTATTTTGTATCAATCTCTGGTTGTTCATACAGGAGAAGGAAAAATATTTTTGTTGGACAAAGCTCTTGCTTAAAAGAGAGTAAAAAAAGAGACTGTTTTAAGGTTGTTGTTTATTTCCTGTTGTTGTTCTTATTTACTGGTATGCAGATTTAGAAACTACTTCCATGCTAGGAAGCTGCTTAATTTTAATTGTATATTACTCAAGCACCTTTTTTGAAGCTCAGAAAAAGAAAAAGGAGATCATGCTTCTTTAAACTTTAGCATTATAGGAATATTTATGTAAATATAATTATGCTAAAAAACAACAAAAAGTATTTGTATGTTTGTGTATATATTATATGTATATACACAGGCACGTAGGTATGTATGTATACATATGTATACCTAGGTGCATGTGCATATACACTATACATATATACTGTATATATAAAACGCTATATATACAGTATATATTTTTCTATTTTTTTTTTTCTCGTTGAATGTATTTTTATCTGAGAGAGATTTTACCCAGAGCAGAAACAGCTAAACAGGCATTCCATAGCAGTGCTTAAGCGCTTGGGAGTCCAGGCAGGCCGAGGAAAGAGCGTCTCCTCCCGCGCTCGCCCGCGGGGCTGCGCGTGCGGCTGCAGCCAGAGCTGCTCTTGCTACTCGCCACGTTTCAGGGTGTTTCTTATTTTTCTTTTCCTGCTTGGCCTTAAAAAGGCTTTTTAATGAATGCATTGGCTAGAGACACTGATGACGATATACATGCAGCACTAATCAGCTCCTTAGAATAACATCAGCTCCTGGATTTTCTTTTTCTCTGTTTTTTTTTTTTTTCGTTTTGTTTTGGTTTTGTTTTTTCTTTTTTTGTTTGGTTTGTTTTTGTTTTTTCAAACAATTGTTTGAAACAACTACTGGAATATTGTCCACATTAAGCTGGAAGTTTGTTGTAGCTTGCCTCATTTATAACTCTGACTGTATAATACAATGTTAACTTTCCAAACAGGTCTTGGCACTTTTATACTAATTACCCATTTGTGCATTGCCTTTTTTCTTTTACAAATGCTTGTCATAAAAGACACAGATACCCAGTATGCTTAATGTGAAAAGAAAATGTATTTTTTGTAAAGGAACTCTCAAGTATTGTTGTAAATACTTGGTCAGAGGTTGCTGAACTTTAAAACTGAAAAAAAACCTAATTTATTATTATAATGACCTAATTTATTAATCTGAAGATTAACAATTTTTTTGTTTTAGAATATCAAAAAGGTGTTCTAGCTGTTTGCATCAAAGAAAAAAAAAAGTGTATCATTAAGGGTCAACATTTTTTCTGCTTATATAACTTCAGTTTCCAAACACAAATAAGAAAAAATGTAGTCTCCCCAGTGTTTTGTACTCAATCTGATATTGAAACAGAGATGTTTCTGTCCAGTTACTGCAAAGATTTTGTCAAGACAAAACATCCATTCCTTGCATAAGAGTAAGCAGTCTTTATCCAGAATTGTAAATGCTTGCTTTTGTTTTACAATCAAGGCTATATTCTGAAAATATTAGCAGGATATAGGACATGGTGTAAAATGTTTTTTATTATTATTATTTTATTATTATTATTATTTTAAAGATATGATTTATCCTATGTGCTGTATCCATTACACTCTTTTACTTTGGTTCCTGTTGTGCTCTTGTAAGAGAAATGCAAATATAATTTTCTGAAAAATAGATGCATATGTGGCACTCGGAGTGCACTGCGGTCCAGCAGATTGCTTGTTTACTTTTTTAACTGTAAGGCGGTTTCTTGTAATTTGGCTCTTGGCAGCACAATAAAAAAAATTTTAAACCTATCAGTGCATATTTTCTAAATGTTCATGCTTATTATTTCCCTGAAGTGGTCCTTGAGGTATTAATTTTTAATCTTGATTTTATTTTTCCCTTCAGGTAGGAACTCATACATTGTCAAGCTGACCTTAGTCCAGAACAATTCAGGACAAGTATAGGAAAATAATCCTTCAATAACTATTACTTCAGTTCAGGAAAGTTCTGAATTTTACACAAAGGAATTTTCACCTTAGAGCGGTTTGTGGAATTCCAGATTGTTCCAACACTCCCTAACTATCTCTCCAAGTTGGATTCTGCCATCTGGCCTAACCACCCCTATCATGCAGGTCACAGACAGTCGTGTGGGGCTGAGGTATGAGCTGAATGGCTCTTCCGTAGCTCCCTCTGTACAACCAGAGGCAGGGGTTAAACTTGCCTTTTCTGTTTGGCTGTTTTTCTTTTCACTCATTTGTTTTTGATGCATGGAGTGAGGAGAGTTACAGCAGCAAGAAGGATAGAAATCTCAACTACGTTTTGTGATGCCAAAAGAAACAAAGCTGAGCTTTATCATAATCAAAACACAAAAGCAAAAAACAAAAAAAAAAATAAAATGTTACGTTAAAAAATTAAACGAAATAAAAGGTCTAGGGTGGTATCAAAGGTAGTACAGTGACTGGTGGATGTGTTGGAAAGTGTAAGAAGAGGACGTGATGGTTTCTTCCAAGCATTTGGTACTCCAAGGACTTCCCAAGCCATAGAGAATGTCCATATTAGCCCACAATGTTCTTTCTCATTTTTATAAAATCATGGAATTGATGTAAAGGTCTGCAGCACCTTGAGGCACGGCATTTCTCAGTTAAACAACATGATGTGTGGGGAAAAAAAATCACCACTTTTTCTTGTTTTGACCCTGCTCCTTTAAAGTTTTCATTTGATATCCCTTGTTTTCTGCATTATGAGAAACAGTGGATCGTTATCTAAATGCCACCCATTAACTTACAGGCCTCATTTTCCTTTTCCCCTTCTCTGTGAAGTAAATTCCTAAGCACTTTGTATGAGAGCCATTCCTCCATACCTTTTGCTTAGCCCTACCATCACATCAAAGGACGCAGGGACTGAAAATGGCCATCTTGTTTAAAGATGGTGCACCTGGAGCTAGCATTATACATGTCTATATATATGTATATATACAATACACACACACACACACACATATATATACTGGTTTGACTGCTATTGACCACCCAGTTGGTATCCTCATAGAGAAAGCTGCACTATGCCAAAATGCCCAAGTAGGAGCAGTTACTATGAAACCCGTCACTGACTTTGACTAGGACAGGCCAGGGGGGTTGTCTCCGCCCTCATGTGCATTCTTTTAGATATGTTGAATTCCACCCAATATTTTATACAAAGATTCAATATCATAATATAATGAAACTCCCACAGCCAGCCCTTACTTTTACTACTCTGGAAAACTTAGCTGCTCTTTGTTTCTTTGGTATTCCCCCACTCTTCTCACCTCCACGTGTTAAACTTGAAGAGCTTGTCCTTAAGCTACTTGCAGGACTCTAGTGCTAACCTATAAACAGGGGCCCCAGTGTTCACATCTCTCCAAGGTGAACAGATACAGAAACCTAAACAGATACAGAAACCTACATGTGACGGTCTGATATTATTTTATTAAGTAGTCTTTTCATATCTTCATCCCATGTTAGCCCTATGGACTCCAATAAACTTTTTACACAAGATGTATCCAGAAAGGGATTTACTATAGTATTTTGACTTCAAAGTTGTTTTTTAAATTCTTGATTTGGCCTGCTGTAACCTACTGGAGATTATCTACCTTTGGGTGCAGCTCTGCAATTTGAAAGATGCCTATTTATGTCCAGTAATTTCTTCTTGCTAGTTAACTATTCCATCTTTTTTGCTGTAAGAGGTGGTATGTCTTCCAGAACAGTGTCTTTAAATGTTCTTCATACTGCCATATTTCCTTCAGGTCATGTGTGAGGAGGGAAAAAAAATACATATAAAATAATGGGCACTGCTTGTTTTTAGTGCTCAGGAACAAGATCCCAGGATTATTATAAACAGCACTGTGAAAGCATGTCCTCAACAGAGACTGAAAACTGAGATATTAGGAAGAAGGAACAAAATGGAAAACAACATAGCGCTGATATTAAGTCCACGATTCACCTGCATTTGAATACTGGCAGCATTCCTGTCTTCCTCACCCTCTTGCAGTGCCACAAAGGACCACATCTGGAAGGCCTAGGCAGACCAGGGCTTGTCAGCTCGTGAGGGCAGTAACTGAGCAGCAGATCCCTCGTGGGGCACGGAGAACCTGAACCAAGGGGTCGGTTTTCCACTTGCTCACTTGTAAGGAAGGGGCAAGTATGAAAAGAATCTTAACATCTTGTATTTGTTTTGGGCTTTCTCTAAGTTGAGAAATTTCTTGTCACATACTTGTTGAGGATGTCAAAAAGTTTACAGTGGATCAAAACAGTTCTAAGTTTTTAAAAAAAGCCTCTTCTAGATAAAAATAACCTATTGCATAAATAGGCATAGCGTAAAGACAGCAAAGGAGGGAAGTGGCGTGCCTGCGTGCTAATAAAGGAGAAGTTATTTCCCCCAGCTCAGCTCTGTGCTCGCCGACGGCTGGGCCGTGAGAGCAGCCCCAGCGCCGCTCAGCCCGGGGTGACCGGGACACAGAGGCGCGACAGCCCAGCTCCCCCTCGCCCCTCGGCCCGGGGTGCCCGGGACACAGAGACCCGGCAGCCCAGCTCCCCCTCGCCCTTCGCTCCCTTTCCCCCCGCGGCTGCCCCGGCTCCGCGCC